GAAGCCCACCTGATTGAAGATAAAATGCTCCAGATTAAATGGGACCCAGGATGGGATGGGTCAGGCCCAGCTCTGGAGTTGGCTTGAGGGAATCAACATAAGTCTCTGAATCCTGAGTGATGCCCCAACCTGGCAGTCACTTCCCAAGGGCAGGAGTCTCATGAGGGTCTCACTGTATTAAATGCTCCGATTCATGCCATGGGCTCTGAATAAAATCAGCTCTGCCATCTTGGTCCTGTTTGAGCAGAGCAGTCGACATCGACCATCTACAATATGGATACAAGGGAGGGACATTACTGTGCAATTCCTTGGCACGAAGCTCTATCTGACAGGGATTCTCCATGTTGGGTGTTGTCAGATAGGTCCACTCAACTCAGAGGTTTTCTGTGGCAGAGGTTTCTGGTCTCCTCCCATTTCCCCGCCCCACCCCCCTTCTTTTTACTTAGTAATAAGGACTCTAGACACAGGGGAGCCCAACTCTAGGGTTGCACTCTCCAGCTTCCCCTGCAGGTAAGTGTGGCCACATGAGGACATTTGGGCTAGTGAGATAGAACTCTTGTGATCCATTCTCAGGAAGGTGTCCTTCATGGGAGCTTTCCCACACCTTCCTTCCCTCCTGTGTGGAGCGTGGACGGGCTGGTGGAGCTCTGGCAGCCATCTTGGACCAGAAAGCGGAGCCACAAGAGCAACAACGTAGACAGAGCCTGGGCTCCTCCTTGTCGCCAAGCTTCCCAGCACCTAGGACTGCATGCCGCCAGAGTCACTGTATGAGAGAGATGCCAACAGCTGCCTTGTTCAAGACACTTTATTAGTTTTGGTTCCTTTCACCTGGATGCAATCCTAAACAAGAGGGTCTCGTAGGGAGGAGGAAAGCTGGCTGTATCCACAAGGGTGAGATTATTATAAGTGAGAGCGGCGGGCAGGAGAGTCAGAGTCCAGGAAGGAGAAGTGACAACGGAAACAGTTTGGAGTGATGAGGTTTAAGATGAGGGAACGGACTGCAGCCCAGGGCTTCAGATGAGCTAAAGTCAGAAGATCAACTACACATGTCTTTGGGGGCCACCACTTATACTCAAATGCTGGGGACGACCAATTAAATAACTTCAATGGTAACTAATACATTATTTTCCTATTATACACACATGTGTGTTGCATATGGNGTTCTTATGTTTTTAATTTCCAATAAAGAGTGAGTCTGTAAATCAATGTCTCTCTCTCTCTCTCTCTCTCTCTCTCTCTCTCTCTCTCTCTCTCTATGACCTTACTGTGTGAGCCCAAGTATGCTGTGTAATTTTCAGGGCCTGTAAGAAATAACCCTTTATTTTCTCAAAGTTTTCTGATGGTTATTGCCAAGGGCATTATGCAATCATAATAAGAACCCCAAGGACCAGTCCAGCCACAATATTGGTTATTGATAGACTGAGAATGGCAAAAGACAGCTCCAGAAGGAGATTAATGGCTCCTTGGGACTGCTCCCCAGATTCCCACTTGCTCCCAGGTGAGCACCGAAGCTAGCTGAAGGGAATACACCCACTACTGACATGTCTTTCTGGAGGGAATCGCTTCCCAACACCTGTCACACGTCTCAACTTAGGGATTTCAGGGGCTGATGACATAGGAAGCCCACCTGATTGAAGATAAAATGCTCCAGATTAAATGGGACCCAGGATGGGATGGGTCAGGCCCAGCTCTGGAGTTGGCTTGAGGGAATCAACATAAGTCTCTGAATCCTGAGTGATGCCCCAACCTGGCAGTCACTTCCCAAGGGCAGGAGTCTCATGAGGGTCTCACTGTATTAAATGCTCCGATTCATGCCATGGGCTCTGAATAAAATCAGCTCTGCCATCTTGGTCCTGTTTGAGCAGAGCAGTCGACATCGACCATCTACAATATGGATACAAGGGAGGGACATTACTGTGCAATTCCTTGGCACGAAGCTCTATCTGACAGGGATTCTCCATGTTGGGTGTTGTCAGATAGGTCCACTCAACTCAGAGGTTTTCTGTGGCAGAGGTTTCTGGTCTCCTCCCATTTCCCCGCCCCACCCCCCTTCTTTTTACTTAGTAATAAGGACTCTAGACACAGGGGAGCCCAACTCTAGGGTTGCACTCTCCAGCTTCCCCTGCAGGTAAGTGTGGCCACATGAGGACATTTGGGCTAGTGAGATAGAACTCTTGTGATCCATTCTCAGGAAGGTGTCCTTCATGGGAGCTTTCCCACACCTTCCTTCCCTCCTGTGTGGAGCGTGGACGGGCTGGTGGAGCTCTGGCAGCCATCTTGGACCAGAAAGCGGAGCCACAAGAGCAACAACGTAGACAGAGCCTGGGCTCCTCCTTGTCGCCAAGCTTCCCAGCACCTAGGACTGCATGCCGCCAGAGTCACTGTATGAGAGAGATGCCAACAGCTGCCTTGTTCAAGACACTTTATTAGTTTTGGTTCCTTTCACCTGGATGCAATCCTAAACAAGAGGGTCTCGTAGGGAGGAGGAAAGCTGGCTGTATCCACAAGGGTGAGATTATTATAAGTGAGAGCGGCGGGCAGGAGAGTCAGAGTCCAGGAAGGAGAAGTGACAACGGAAACAGTTTGGAGTGATGAGGTTTAAGATGAGGGAACGGACTGCAGCCCAGGGCTTCAGATGAGCTAAAGTCAGAACATCAACTACACCACTTATACTCAAATGCTGAGGACGACCAATTAAATAACTTCAATGGTAACTAATACATTATTTTCCTATTATACACACATGTGTGTTGCATATGGATTATCAGGCTACAGTAGATGACTTTGGAGATATTTACTAAGACACCAGACACTCAGAAGTGTATATTCACTCACCTTCCTCTGACTAAATTTGGGCTTAACATTGGAAAAGTCCAAATAAAAAAGGATATTTAATGGTGAGTTTCCACTTTGGAAAATATGCATATGTATATGACCATATATATATATATATATATATATATATATATATATATATATATATATATTAGAACTGATATATATCAGAACTGAAAAGATTCATAGGAAAAAGCTCAATATATTTCCAGGTGGTCAAATTATTACAGGTGATTTTTAACAGCATTAATTACATCATAATAAATAATTGTATACTTGTTCTATTGATAAAATATATTTATTTTTTTATAAATGTATACATATATAAACATTTTATATATTTAGATAAATATTTAAATACTTATCTGATTTTCAAATATTTATTATAAAGATTCATCATAAATCATTTTAAATGATTTAATTATTAAGATAGTGTTAGTTTTCTATGTTAAGAATTTTCCAAATTTTTTATAGCTAATGCATTCCTTTTGCAATTAAAAAAGTAGTATTTGTTGGTATGAAATGAAAGACTAACAGAGTCCCAAATACAGTTTGAAAGATCTTATGGATTGCAGACTTCTGGAATGTGCTCTCTGTTCATCGGCCTTCTCTGTGCGTCCCTCAGCCCGCCATCTCTCTCTCTCTCAGTCCAATTCAATATTCAGCCATGTTCCTCACGTGCACAGCTCCAGCTCCCCCTGCGACCCTCTCTGTGTGGAGCGCACTCTCCTCATCTCCCGCATAGTCACTCCTAATGCTGAATTTTAGGAAGCGTCTAAAAGTCCAACATCAAAGGAAATGGTTCTATAAATTTTGGTTCAGCCAGATACTAGCATGCCCTGC